GTCTGTTCCACAATCAGCTCCTGGCCTGGTTTTGGCTGAAGATATTGAGCTTTTCCACTGCCTCTTGCCACAGATGTAGTCAATCTGATTCCGGTGTGTTCCATCTGGTGAAGTCCATGTGTAGAGCTGCCGTTTGTGTTGTTTAAAAATGGGGTTTGCAATGAACAAGTCATGGGTCTTGCAAAATTCTACCATACGAGTTCCAGCATTATTTCTGTCACCAAGGCCAAATTTTCCAACTCCTGGTAATTCTTCTTTGTTTCTAACTTTTGTATTCCAGTCAGCAGTGATAATTAACACATCCTGATTGCATGTTTGGTCAATTTCAGACTTCAGAAGATAAAATTCTTCAATTTCCTCATCTTTGGCTTTGGTGTTGGTGCATAAATTTGAATAATAGTCGTATTAACGGGTCTTCCTTGTCGGCATATGGATATTATCCTATCACTGACAGCATTGTACTTCAGGACATATCTTGAAACATCCTTTGTGATGATGAATGCCATGCCATTCCTTTTCAAACTGTCATTCCCGGCATAGTAGATCACCTGGTTGTCTGATTCAAAATGGCCCAATCCAATCCATTTCAGCTCACTAATGCTGAGGATATCAATCTTTATGTGTTCCATTTCATTTTTGACAACTTTCAAAATTTTCCTAGATTCATACTTTGTACATTCCATGTTATGATGATTAATGGATGTCTGTAGCTCTTTCTCTTCAGTTTGAGTGTTGCCACATCAGCAAATGGAGGTCTTGAAAGCTTTACCTTATCCATAGGAGTAAAGCTGGGTTTACTCAGATGATGCAGCTCTTTCCCAGTCCTATTTTGAGAGCCTACTAACCTTTCTTCTGCAGTGAGGCTGGTGGGTTTGAACCACTGCCCTTTTTTAGCAGCCAAATGCCTTAACCACTACACCACCAGAGCGCCTTATTTTTATAACAGATCATTCAAAAATAAATATAATCTATAGTGAGAATTTTTTAAATTCATTTTTAAGGTAATAATGTAAATTGCACTGTAATGATTATATAATGAATTGGATTTGCATAGTTAACTACTTAATTAAATATTTCAGACAGTGCCTGAGATCATGTTAGAGTTGCCAGTGCAGCATTTAGGATTATTTTTAGACTCTGGTATTTTTATCTTTTGAATAAATGGGCATTTGAATTGAAAATTTGACTTCTCAGTAATAAAAAAATTCAAAACCATAGTTAAGATTGTCCACTTAGAAAAAGGCATTTAGTTGTCTGGTTATGCATTGACCTCCTATAGAAATTGTATTCTCAAGTTAGAGCAGAAAATATATAAAAGTAATGAATTTTAGGTTAGCCTTTCATGAGAAATAGATACATGGAGTTTAGATAGACATTGATAATTTAAAATCCCCATGTGTTTACATTATTGAGTGGTTCTAGGGAGGAATGATATATTTAAAAGAACATGGTATAATTTATAATATTGGATCATGATACTACCTCTGTTCTTTGTTGTTAGTTTTTTCATTCAATGCTGGTGTCTAATTATGTAAAATAATTTAACACCTAGGGTTGCAAGTGCCAAACTTCATAATTTTTCTCTACTGGAGCCAACGCTTCACCTTCTGGGTGTGCAGTTTGATCAGAATGTGGCCCAGAGCATCATGACTGAAAAGCCTGGGGCAGCCACAAAACTTTTATATCAGTTGTACATTGCTCTTCAGAAAAAGAAGAAAAGTGGAATGACTGCATTGGAAATGCAGACCTTGCAGCCTCTGACAAGTGTAAGACTTCAAAGCATGAAAAGTGAGGCTTTTCGTGAGGTAGGTACATAAAGAAACATGTATGTAACAATGTAAAACATGGCAGGGAAAAATAATAGTGATACTACATTCTGAAAAGGGCCCCCTGGGGTGTCTGTCATTACATAGCTCCTTGGCGCACTTGGGTTTTATTTTATATTAGTATTTTAAATTCACTTATCCATTTTTGGTATCTCACCCACACTGCCAATGACTTATAAAATTGTTTTTTTTCCTAATTTCCAGTACTCTTTATGTCTGCTCCTCTCTTTCTGTTTCCACTCCTGTGATATCTTCTCAGATAGCCTCAGGAATCTGTTAACATGGCTTCCAGTCTTCAGGCTGTCTGAAGAGGTTAACAACCACTTGATTAATCTTCCCTAGATTCTCCTTTCACTAGGAGCTCTGGTTGTATAGTGCCTAAGACACCTGACTGCTAACCAGAAGGCTGGCAGTTCAAACCCACCAGCCACTCCTCAGAAAGAAGATTGGGCAATCTACTTCCATAGTGATACTGCCTCAGAAACCCAAGGAAGGGTCGCTATGAGTCGGGTCCTACTCAACGGCACATAACAACAACAACTCCTCAGAAAGAAGATTGGGCAATCTACTTCCATAGTGATACTGCCTCAGAAACCCAAGGAAGGGTCGCTATGAGTCGGGACCTACTCAACGGCACATAACAACAACAACAAATTCTCCTTTCACTAGGTTCTGCCTCTGCTCACACACTGTCCATTTTATGCATACTCAGTATCTAATCTAGACTGACATTCAAGCTCCTTCACTAAATGTTCTCAATGTACCTAACTAATCTTACTTCTTTTTAGTCTTTATCATAATTTTTTTCATTCTTCTACATTAAAGGACAGGCTGTCCTTGTACATGACTTGTATATTCATGCTCTTTCTGTCCCCTCACCCAAACCCACCCTTCTCATCTTTCTTTGTCCTCAAACGCTTCTTGTCCATGTAGTTCTGTGCAGCCTTTGTCCAATACACATGATTTCTTTCTTTGGAACTCCTAAGACACAGGTAATTCTCAGTGATTGGTGTTAAACTTCTGCTTTTGATACTGTTAGCTGGCTATTGATTATTTATTTGTCGTATTACCTCACAAAATATTTTGTACTTCACATTTAAGGAAAATGCCTACTCCAAACTTTTGAGCATTGGAGATACTCATTAAATGTGTTTTGATTAATTGATACAATTTTTAGTTAATGTTTTCTCTCCAGTTCCTATGCTATTTCTTAAGTTTAAGTGATAAAAAATAAAACTCACTGCTGTTGAGTAGATTCCAACTCATAATGACCTTATAGGACAGAATAGAACTGTCCCATAGGGTTCCCAAGGGTGTAATCTATAATGTGCTACCCTGACACAGAGCCCTAATGTAGAAATGAATATAATTAAAATGTTTTAATTTAATCTATGCCATAACAGATGCCATTTTCAGATTTTTCTATTATTAATGGACATCCTCAGCATTCTGGTAGCAGAATGTACCCAGCATCTATAGACCTAGGAATTTGATTATGGTTAAAGGTGCATAGTTTAGTATTGCATCCTACATCCTTCATTTGCAAGCTGGTTAACTTTAGATGAGTCAGTGAAAAATTTTAGCCTCAACTTTTTCAAATGGCAAAAGTTAGTGTAATTATTTCATCCTGCCTCAGAGTTGGGGTCTTGTGTAATTTCAATGAGATGAGACACAAGAAGACATTTTATAAACTGTAAAGCAGTATACAGTGGCAGTTGCTACAAGCGAATCACCCAGAGGCCACTGAGGTTAATGTTGGTCATAGACAGTCCCTCAGAATCAATCATTCATTCATTGAACAATTATTTATTGACTTCTACTTTGTCCTTCAACAAGATGGATTGACACAGTGGCTATGATGATGGGGTCAGGTATAGCAAAGATTGTGAGGCTGGTACAGGACCAGGGAATGTTTTGTTCTCTTGTACATAGGGTCACTATGAGTTGGAGCCAACTAGACAGCACCTAACAACAACAACAACTTTATGTTAGGCACCTCACAGTGAATGGCACAGGAAATGTTTCAGCCATCTTTGTGGTTGTTAGTTGCCATCAAGTCTATTCCAACTCATGTCAACCTCAAGTGTGCAGAGTAGACCTGCTCTGTAAGGTTTAAAGGCTGCAATTTTTTGGAAACTGATTGTTAGGCCTGTCTTCCAAGGAACCTTTGAGTGAGTTTGAACCACCATCATTTTGGCCAGTAGTTGAGCTCTTAACTGTTTATGACACCCAGAGAACCCCAACTCCTAGGGTTGATGTTTTAGAGAAAGCAAAAGGTTTCAGAATGGTATGGGTTAAAGCCAGATTGCAGAAAGCTGGGGATGAGAAAGAGGGAGCATAGGTTATCCTTTCATGAAATGTAGAGGTAAAGAAGAAGAGAGAATAACAGTAGCTGGAAGGAGGGAGAGAAGCTCAAAGGAAGCATATTGATTTGTTAGTTTTATGGAATATTAACTGGGACAACTTGCTGGCCGAGAAAAAGAATCAGTGACAGGAGATAGGAAAGTCTTGGTGGGAGATCCTCTGTGAAGAAAATAGGAAGATGCCATCAGTGACTCAGGTGGAGGAGCATTTTCTTGAAGAAGAAAGTAGACATGGCATATTCTTTGTTACTAAATGGGGTAGATATGGGTGTTCCTTACATTGTGATAATAACAATGGCCACAATTTATTGGCCGAGGGCTTGGGAGTTGCTTTTCACTTGGAGGTGGCTCTATATTAAGGCTGGGGCCTGAAGTAGGCTGGCCCTGGCTTTGGAGACTGCTTTTTGCTTGGGTGTGGCTCTATATTAAGGCTGGGGCCTGAGGTATGTGGGCCTAGGGCTTAGGGCTGCTTTTTGTTGAGGGCAGCCTCTTTATTAAGGCCAGGGCCTAAGGTAGGTGGGCCAGGGATCAGGGGGCTGCTCTTTTCTTGTGGCGGCTCTATTTTTAGTCTTGCCTGAGGTAGGCAAGTGCAGAGGGGTTAGAAACAACTAAGGGAAATGAACTTGTCGGTTAGTTTGTCATCCTGTGGTGGCTTACATGTTGCTGTGAGGCTGAAGGCTATGCCACCGTATTGCAAAATGCCAGCAGGGTTACCCATGGTGGACAGGTTTCAGCAGAGCTTCTGGGCTAAGACAGACTCGGAAGAAGGAAGAGGCCATCCACTTCTCAAAAAATTGGCCAGTGAAAACCTTATGAATAGCAATGAAACACTGTCTGATATGTTACTAGAAAACTTTATGAATAGCCCTGAAACATTGTCTGATATAGTGCCAGAAGATGAGCCCACCAGGTCGGAAGTCATTCAAAATTTGACTGGGGAAGAGCTGACCCCTCAGAGTAGAGACAACCATAATTATTTAGGTAGAGTAACCTCTGTTGGCTGATGTTGCATGACTCAAAATGAGTAGAAACAGATGCAAACATCCATTAATAATTGGAACCTAGAATGTACAAAGTATGAGTCTAGGAAAATTGGAAGTTATCAAAAATGAAATGGAATTCATAAAGATCAATATGCTAGGCATTAGTGTGCTGAAATGGACTGGTTTTGGCCATTTTGAATCAGACAACCATATGATCTCCTATGTTGGGAACGATAAATTGAAAAGGAATGGTATGGCATTCATTGTCTCAAAGACTGTTTCAAGATCTGTCCTGAAGTACAATGCTGTCAGTAATAGGATAATACACATATACCTACAAGGAAGGCCAGTTAATACTACTATTATTCAAATTTCTGCACCAACCACAACAGCCAAAGATGTGGAAATTGAAGATTTCTACCAACTTCTGCAGTCTGAAATTGACTGAACATGCAATCAGGAAGAGTTGATTATCACTGGTGACTGCAATGCAAGAGTTGGAAACAAAAAAGAGTTACCAATGGTTGGAAAATATAGCCCTGGTGATAGAAAGTATGCTGGATGTCACATGATAGAATTTTGCAAGCTCCAAAATGTATTCATTATAAATACCTTTTTTTCCACAAGATAAGCAATGAATATACACATGGACTTCACCAGATGGAATACACAGGAATCAGATTGACAACATCTATGGCAAGAAACAATGGAGAAATTCAATATCTTTGGCCAAAACGAGACCAGGAGCTGATTGTGGAGCAGACCATCAACTGCACATATGCATGTTCAAGTTGAAGTTGAAGAAAATTAAAATAAGTCCATGAGAGCCAAAATATGACTTTGAATATATCCCTCCTGAATTTACAGACCATTTAAAGAATAGATTTGATGCATTGAACACCAATGACTGGAAACCAGAGGAATTGTGCAATGACATCAAGAACATCATCCACAAAAAAAGCAAGAGGTCATTAAAAAGACAGGAAAGGAAGAAAAGACCAAAATGGATGTCAGAAGAGACTCCGAAACTTGCACTTGAGCAAAGAGTAGCTAAAGCAAATGGAAGAAATGACAAAATAAAAGACCTGACCAGAAGATTTCAAAGAGCAGCTTGAGCAGACAAAGCTAATTACTGTAATGAAATGTGCAAAAACCTGGAGTTAGAAAACTAGAAGGGAAGAACATGCTTGGCATTTCTCAAGCTGAAAGAATTGAGCAAAAATTTAAGCCTCAAGTTGCAATATTGAAAGATTCTATTGGTAAAATTTTGATTGATGCAGAAAGCATCAAAAGAAGATGGAAGGAATACACAGAGTCACTGTACCAAAAAGAATTGGTTTATCTTCATCCATTTCAGGAAGTGACATATGATCAAGAACCAATAATATTGAAGAAGGAACGCAAAGCTGCAGTGAAGGAATTGACAAAGAACAAGGCTTCAGGAAGTGATGGAATACTCACTGAGATGTTTCCAGAAATGGATGCCCTGCTAGAGGCACTCACTCATCTATGCAAAGAGATTTGGAAGACAGCTACCTGGCCAACTGGCTGGAAGACATCCCTATTTATACCCATTCCAAAGAAAGGTGATCCCACAGAATGTGGAAATTATCAAACAATATCATTAATATCACATGTAAGTAATATCTTACTGAAGATAATTAAAAAATGGTTGCAGTAGTATATTGACAGAGAACTTCTAGAGGTGCAATGTGGATTCAGAAGAGGACATGGAACAAGAGCCATCATTGCTGATGTTAGATGGATCTTGGCTCAAAGCAAAGAGTACCAGAAAGATGTTTACTTGTGTTTTATTGACTGTGCAAAAGCATTCAATTGTGTGGATCACAACAAATTGTGGATAACATTGAGAAGAATGGGAATTTCAGAAGACTTAATTGTACTCATGAGGAACCTGTACATAGACCAAGAGGCTATCATTCAAACAGAACAAGGGGACTCTGCATGGTTTAAGATCAAGAAGGGAGTGTGTCAAGGTTGTATCCTTTCACCGTACTTATTCAACTTGTATGATGAGCAAATAATCAGAGAATCTGTATTATATAAAGAAGAACATGGCATCATAATTGGAGGAAGACTAATTAACAACCTGTGATAAGCAGATGACACAACTTTGCTTGCTGAAAGTGAAGATGACTTTTGAAGCATTTACTGATGAAGATAAAGACTACAGTATGCAGTATGTATTACACCTTAATATAAAGAAAACAAAAATTCTCACAACTGGTCCAATAAACAGCTTCACGGTTGATGGAGAAAAGATTGAAGTTATCAAGGATTTTCTATTATTTGGTTCTACAATCAACACCAATGGAAGCAGCAGTCAAGATATCAGATGACATGTTGCATTGGGCAAATCTGCTGCAAAAGATCTCTTTCAAGTGATGAAGAGCAAAGATATCTCCTTGAAGACTATGGTGTGCCTGACCCAAGCCATGGTATTGTCAATCTCCTCTTATGCATATGAGAGCTGGACATTGAATAAGGAAGACTGAAGAAGAGTTGATGCTTTTGAGTTGTGGTGTTGGAGAAGAATGCTAAGAGTACCATGGTCTGCTAAAAGAACTAAAAAATCTGTCCTGGAAGAAGTGCAGTGAGAATGTCCTTGGAAGTGAGAATGGCCAGACTTCATCTCACCTGCTTAGGTCATGGTGTCAGAAGGAACCATTCCCTGGAGAAGGATATGATGCTTGGTAAAGTGGAGGGTCAACAAACAAGAAGAAGGCCCTCAACAAGGTAGGTAGACACAGTGGCTGCAACAGTGGGCTCAGTTATGGCAAGGATCAGAGGCTGGCACAAGACGGGGCAGTGTTTTGTTCTGCTGTGCATAGGGTTGCTATGACCCACCAGCCACTCCTTGGAAGGAAGGTTGGGCAAGCCTACTTCCGTAGTAATACTGCCTTGGAAATCCAAAGAGGGGTCGCTGTGAGTTGGGGCCGATTCGACGGCACATAACAACAACAACAACAATGAGTCAGAAACAACTATTCCCTTTTAGTAGATGAGGAGACTAAGGCACAAAAGGGTTGGTAACTTGTCCAGTTTCACACAGCTAGTGGTGTAGAGCTGAAACTCAAACGTAGGCCATCTGACGACTCTAGAAGCCACACACTTAGCCATTAGTTTGTATGACATCTTAATAGATATTTGCTGAGCTGGTGTGTGTTGAGGTGGAGAGGCAGGGCAGGATGTTAAGATTGCTCACATTTCCGTTGAAGATGGAGTCAAGGCCATTTTTTGAGTGAAAAGAGCAGGTGGGCAACTGAAGACTTATGGATAGCTCCAAGATTTTCACATGTTCTTTTGAATAAGTGAAAGCATGAACTGAAGCAATTTTGGAGAGAAGCCAAAAATGATTTGTACACTGGTACCTTTTGTTTCTAGTAAGTTTTAGCTTCTCAGGAGATTACTGTTGGATATAAAAGGTTTAAATATATTAGCCTTGTTATTATATAACTCTCCTTTAAAATCTTTGAAAGTTCATTTGCTTGTGTACATTTATTTCCAGTGGCCTAAAAGTTTTAGTAATTCTTTATTTTTTGCTAAAGAGTGACCTTAGCAATGAGAAAAATCTGACTTTTTATTCCTTAAATGGCAAAACGGTTTTTTTTTTTTTCTTCTTGTGATTTGGGTGAAGATTTACAGAGCAAATTAACTTTCCATACAGCAGTTCACATATACTTTGTCTCATGTCATTGACCACAGGCAAAACTGGTTTTTAAAGATTATTTTTGTGAAGACAGATTTCCAAAAATGCAAATACCATTCTTTGAAAAGTAAACTCACTGCAAAAAATCAAACTACAAAAGTATATATGAGGCTATTTTGTAATAAGGAATTTAAATCTTTTTAAAAATTGCTTTCAATTAAAGATATGAATGATTGGTGTGGAGCTTTAGTTTACTGTAACCATCAACAGTGGTAATCCATAGAAATTTTACTTTGAAGACACCTTTTATGTGTGTTTATGATGACAATATCTTCCTTATTCTCTAATACCAAATCTCTTGAAATCCTTTCTTCATTTAGAGACTTAGAAACCTGATTCCACGTCAAACTGATTTCAATCTGATGCGAGTTACACACAGATTTCAAGAAAAATATAGACACATGGAAGAAGAATTTGTCCGTGTGCAATTTGAGAAACATGAACAATTTAAAAAAGTCAAGGAAGAACAAAGATGTTTTAATATCGAAAAGGTTTTATAGAACAATTTTTCTAGAAGTTCATTAATGCATAGAATACTGTTAACAAACTGTGCCTATAGTACACATTGCATACACATTAATGCAGCACAGGTTAAGTTGTCCTGATGCGTGACTCATGCCCTGCCCCTTCTCTTACCCTCTTTTCTCCGCCCTCACTTTTGCTGACAATTACCTCTACTCACAGCTATGAACTAGAACTACCATTCTCTGGTGTGGTTGGATAACTTGGTAGAAATTATTACTTCAGATGCTTTAGTGATGGGCTGGTTGCCATTAGCTACTGCAACAGAGGTTTAAGACCATTGGTTACCATGGAGGGAGACAGAGTGGACATTTTTCCCTCCTTTGCCTCCCGTTGGTCTCTCTCCTGCCTCATTCCTCACTTCCTGACAGTGCTGACTGACTCTCTGCTTACCTCCTTCTGAGCCACCTCAAATGTCTCTTTACTTCTCCTGGCCCTTGCTTCTCACTTTAACCAACTCCCAGCCACATCTTAAATTTCTTCAAAAATCTTTAATGATTCCTATAGTGTCTAAGGCACTTGACTGCTAACCAGAAGGCTGGTGGTTCAAACCCACCAGCCACTCCTCAGAAGAAAGGTTGGGCAATCTATTTCACTAGTGATACCGCCTCAGAAACCCAAAGAGGGGTCGCTATGAGTCGGGTCTGACTCGACAGCAC